AAGGGGAGAGGGAGAGAGTTGGACTTTTCGTTGGTTTTGATTGGTTACTACGCGTTTAGTTGAGTCACCATGTTTGCTGACATGGCAAATTTAGTAAAAATTGACATGTCATTAACTGCTTTGTCTTACAAATTTATATTAATTAAATATAAATTTTAATACGTCATTTCCAGAATTTATTTAAATTAATTATATAATAAAACTATTATTTGTGAATAAACAACATACATTAAAAAAAAAAAACTCTTAAAAGCACGGTAATTTAAACTCAGCATGCTCTATAATTCATAAACTTAAAGTAAAAATAGTTAATTTGAGTTGATACATACAAAATTAAAATAATATTATTTTAATTTTTTAAATTTAAAATAATATTATTTTTATAAAAATCAAGTTTAATAAATATATAAATGAGTGATTTATCAAATTAATTAAGTTAAATCATGTTAATTTTGACTTCTTTTGTTTTTCACTCGGCTCAAACTAAAAACCAAATTACTGGAGTGTTTTATCAAATTCATGAAGTTAAATTAGATTTAAAACTTATTAAACCCATCAAGTCAAAGTTAAAAGAGGTTTGATAATAATATGATTTAAATTATTATTAGTAGAAAAAAATTACTTTTATGGAACAATAACAACCATTACAGGAAGGAAAAAGATGAAGGAAAGAAGAAGAAGTACTAATTCACATTGTTCCATGAAATAGAATTTACAAGGTGGAAAATATTTTTCACAGCCAAAGATTTTCTGTGTAAATATTTTAACGCCAGAACATATATTTTTCACCTGAAGCCTAACCCATACGCTTGAGGTTTGGGGCTTTCTTTATCTTGAAGCCCAACTCGAATTTGCTATAGATGGTTATAGAAAGAGGGCCCTCAGAATGGCCCATATGGCCCAAAAAGGGGCTTGATTGAGAGTACACTTAATAAGAAAATGAGATCCATGCTGGGCCCATTGCGCAGAAGCTGAAATTGGGCACATGGGATGGAGGCATGCTTGGAGTTGGCCTCTGGCTCAGGACTAAAAGAAAGAAAGATCACTAATATTTAATTGAACTCATTAATTTGAACAGTGGAAAATAACAAACGAAATTATTAATTTGAAAAAGAAATCACTACTCGTAAAAGGTTTGAAATCGCGGTTTTCAACTGTCTTTTTGAAATAAAAAAAATAATAACTTCAAGAAGTTTTTCTTTTTTGGTGTTTTGCATTATCTTGATATATGTTGATATTAAAAATAAATTTTAAAAAATAAAAATATATATTATTTTAATGTATTTTCAATTGAGAAATAATATTATAAAAAATATTACAATTTCCTCAATTCATGACCCCATTTAAAAATTATAAATAAAGCATAATTCATTAATTTATAAAAAAATATTTTCTTTGTAATAGTAAGTGATTTATTTTATAGAGAAATAAACACTTTTCACATGACAAAAGTATTTAATTTGGCGTCAAGGGCCGACAACATTGCTTAGAAGTAAATCAAGTAGCATGGGGGCACAAAAGCTTGCGGGCAACAACCATGGCAATCAGTCGCTTGCAAGGCACAAGCATGGCCCTCCATGAAACTAATTTAAATGTGAATCATCCACAGGTTCGTGTGATAAATGTCGAGATATTAGAGGAAAAGGTCGACCATATTCTTAAATAACTTGGGATCTTGATCTTTATAAGTGCTTTATATGGAGTGCTCAAGTGGTTTCTCCACTAAATTAAACAAATATAAAAAATTAAGTAGATGAGTTCATCCTTCTAGAAAAATAATCGCATTTTCCATATCAATTCATGATCGAACTTGACCACCATGACATTTATCAATGGATTAAAATTATTGTACTATAGGGATTAATCGTGATGCGTGTAAGCTGACCCGAACACTTCACATTAATAAAAAAAACAAAAAAAATGAATTAAAATTATTATCGGTAATCCACACAATTATTATTTTATTATTAACATAACTATTATTTTATTGTTATTTTATAATATCTTTTCACTATATAACCATTGTAATCACCATTCTTATTGTCAATCTAATTATCATTTATCATTATATCACCATATTTTTTTAATTTATTATTATTAAAAAAATCTCAAATTTATAATCATCATTTTCACGATTAACACCAATAACTTTATTATTAAAATAACAATTATTTCACCGTTTTTATTATAATCATCCTTATAATTATTATCACTAATAATTGATAACAAATATAATAAAATAACCACCACATCATAATTATTATCTTCATCCCTGCTATTTCCATCATAAAATATATTTTTTTCATCTCATTACTATCATTTAAAAACCATAAAAGAGAAATAATTCATTACTTCATAAAAAAAAAAAATCTCAATGCATCTAAATAATAATAATAAAAATCTTATTTTAAAAATAAACACTTTTCACATGATAAAAGTATTTAATTTTGCAATCTAGAGCTTGGTTTAGCGGTGGAAGGAGTTTGTCTCTTTCCACTGCACCTGGGTTCGAGCCCTGGCATGCACGCCTGTCAGCTCCGCGGTGCCTTACATGCCTATTGGGTTTCCAGGATATTCAGTGGGCTGTGGAGATTAATCGTGATGCGCGTAAGCTGGCCCGGACACCCCACATAAATTAAAAAAAAAAAAAAAGTATTTAATTTGGCGTCAAGGGCCGACAACATTGCTTAGAAGTAAATCAAGTAGCATGGGGGCACAAAAGCTTGCGGGCAACAACCATGGCAATCAGTCGCTTGCAAGGCACAAGCATGGCCCTCCATGAAACTAATTTAAATGTGAATCATCCACAGGTTCGTGTGATAAATGTCGAGATATTAGAGGAAAAGGTCGACCATATTCTTAAATAACTTGGGATCTTGATCTTTATAAGTGCTTTATATGGAGTGCTCAAGTGGTTTCTCCACTAAATTAAACAAATATAATAAATTAAGTAGATGAGTTCATCCTTCTAGAAAAATAATCGCATTTTCCATATCAATTCATGGTCGAACTTGACCACCATGACAATTATCAATGTATTAAAATTATTATCGTTAATCCACACAATTATTATTTTATTATTAACATAACTATTATTTTATAGTTATTTTATAATATCTTTTCACTATATAACCATTGTAATCACCATTCTTATTGTCAATCTAATTATCATTTATCATTATATCACCATATTTTTTTAATTTATTATTATTAAAAAAATCTCAAATTTATAATCATCATTTTCACGATTAACACCAATAACTTTATTATTAAAATAACAATTATTTCACCGTTTTTATTATAATCATCCTTATAATTATTATCACTAATAATTGATAACAAATATAATAAAATAACCACCACATCATAATTATTATCTTCATCCCTGCTATTTCCATCATAAAATATATTTTTTTCATCTCATTACTATCATTTAAAAACCATAAAAGAGAAATAATTCATTACTTCATAAAAAAAATTCTCAATGCAGCTAAATAATAATAATAAAAATCTTATTTTGCATGGAAATATTTTATGCGGAATACTTAAAAGTAAATCAATTCCTATGGGAACACAAGAGCTTGCGGACATCAACCATGGTAACATGTATATCGCTCGCAAAACACATGCAAGGCCCTCTACGAAAACTAATTTAAATGGGAAACATTCATAGTTGATCATGTGATAAACATCGAAATATTGAACAAAAAGGTCCACCATATTTTAAAACCACTTGGGATCTTAAACCAAGTGCTTTTCATTGATTGCTCGAGTGGTTTCTCCACTAATTATTAAGCAAATAAAAGAGAGTGGATGGGCATGAAATGTCTCAATCCATGTTACACCTAACCCAATTCCCCAAGGTATGTTCTATCATTTATATATATATATATGAAGCTTCCTTCTTCTTTTCCATTCTCTCACTCATCCATCCTTTAATTAAATCAATACCCATCTATTATATATTAAACACACACACATACACAAAACTTTAAAAAAAAAGTATGAAAATATATTAAATTTATTTTTTAGATTTTTTTGATGATTTTTATATGTTGATATAAAAAAAAAATAGTAATTTAAAGTATTGTATTAAATTACCAAACACATTTAGAAGCATATTTAATTAAAAAAACTAATATGAGGAGCAATAAATATGAAAGAGGCTACAAAATTTATCGAGAACTTGTATGAAAAGAGACAATTTAAACACGAGAAATGAGTGAGCGATGGAAGTCTTCAATGGGGATCTTACTTCAAGGGTTGGGGCATCAATGGCAGGAAAGAAGCAATAATTTGCGGCCGTATGGTATAAAGCCACAAAGATGTCAATCAATCACAATATCAAGCAAGCAAGATGGCAACCAGAGCGGTCACTCTCAAGATGGTGCATTACAAAGTTCTTATTCTGGTGACGAAAGTCATAAAGAGGCAACCAGAAGGGCCCCAGATTTTGAATTATTGGGAGCAGTGATCTTGCACTAATTGGTTGCCTGCCCAAGCTTGTGTTTTGTAGAGTGGCGTGAGTGTTTTATATATATATGCTTTGTTCATGGAACTTCAAATCTCAACCTTCCATATTATTATTTATTATTGGACCTTACAAAGCAACAAGATTATGTACATCTTTCAATTTAAATCATTAATCCTAATTTTAAAATTAATTAAAATCTGAGTTACTCGATATTTTTAAAAGTAATAAAAACCTTAATTTTAGGATTAATTAGATATAAAATCCGAGTTACAAGTTAACCTAACATTTTGAAGAAAAAAAGGTAATAAGTACTAATTGGATCATGGATTAATACAAATGTTTAATCAAATTATAACACATTTGAATCATGGATTGATACAAGTTTTTAACTAGATCATATACCACTTTAAGTTACATTCCTTCCTTGTGTGATTGACCTTGCTAGGCCAAGTTTAATATCAACGCTTTCAGGTACCTTCCATGTTATTATTAGCCTAACCTAAACGCAAATTCTTCCAACATGTATACAAATTAGACTCCATAGATCAATTTGCTAAGAAATTGGGACAATCTCTATCATACAAAGGAGTTTGAAGGATAATATATTTCCAAGGAGTGAAACAAAATCTGCCACCTCTTTTAAGTCACGCAGGCAATGATATCTTTGAGACCTTGCGCACACCCCCGTGTATCAGCACCCATCACAAAAGGCACACTTAACCTGGTAAAAAAAAATCAAGGACATAACTAGCTATAACTACTCTACTTGCGAACTTCACATTCACATTATACTGCAACTATCGGTATTCTCATCGTTGAAGAAGTGAGTGTACTGATCGGACACCGTAGGTGGTGGTATCGGAGGCTGCATGTAGTTAATGGAAGGATGAGGGCGAGCATACATCATTGGTTGGAACATGTCATTCCCATTCTGCCTTTGCTGGTTCATCATCATTGCCATGTACTGCTGCTGCTGATTGTAAGGATTACCTTGCCCCAATCCTGGATAATATCCACCACCATTCATTGCTGCTGCTGCAGGCAGTCCTTGCACTGTTGGAACACTGCCCATCCCACCCATCAGGCCCATATGACCCATCGGGCCCATTTGGCCCGGATTCTTGTGACCTTTTCCTGTTCCATCATTTTCATGGAACCCTTGTTTCATTTTGTTCATGACATCGACCCCATCAGTTTTGCCACCACCCTTCTTGGTCCCGTTGCCATTACTGTTTCCATTTCCACCTGCACTGCCATGATTGGCTGCAGCCTTATTAGTACTATCCTCTCCCTTTTTACTCTTCTTGCCAAAGCCCAGAAACCCAATCCCAATACCACTCTTGCCATCTTTTTTCTTGTTCTCCCCCTTGCTTTTACCGTTCTTGCCATCACCTTTCTTGCCATCTTTACCGTCTCCCTTGCCCTTCATTACCACAGGGATCTCAAAAACATCACCACCACCACCCTTCTCGGCCTTTCCACCACCACCCCC